ATTCAGAGCTCATTCCTGAGGCGGAAGGGGATCAGAACCCGCCTCACTGCACTATGCTGCTTTGCGTATTGACTATTTTGATCCAAAGGCAACTGAGAAGCAGCAGATGCAGACCCGGCTCCCTGCCTCTCCTTTCTGCCCAAAGGCAGGGCATACATTTCCCGTGAGAAAAGTGCTCTCTCAGGAAGAAGAGAATATCTTAACATCGTAACCTACAGCGTTGCATCACAGTGTGGCTCTGTTGGATCCGGACCAGCCCTTCCTAATCTCGGCTTTCTATCCCTGGGGAACTGACTTCTTTCCCTCTAACTGCAGCTCCACTTCTCATTTATGGACCTTGTGCTTCACGTCAGAATCTGGCCCTGACCTCCAGCTTCTCTCTTTGCCTGTGTTTCATACTCCTCTTACTGGGGATACTGTATTTGGCCTTTCTGGGTAACCCCCTGCTTTCGTCTCACCACAGGCCCTTTTATCTCAGTGCAGGCTGCAGCCTTATCAAGGTTACGTCAGTCCTGTGAACAAGCCCCAGACAAGCAGGCCTGAGCAGGCCACGGCACCCCCTTCCTGCCTGAACACAGAGACGTGCTGGAGAGCCTTGGGCTTGTCCTTCATCCTGGGGACGCAGGAACACGTGGTAGAAAGCAAACTTCCGAGTTGTCCCCAGGACCACTGTAATTTATCATGTGCTTTGCCTGCCTGTTTTTCTGACCACCGTTTTGCTAGGACTGGCTAAGTCCCCCGGGAGGCTGAAGGCCTCCTTTTCTTTCAAGGTCATGTGTGATACCCTTGAGAAAAGACAGCCTCTAGCAGCAGAGACAGATACCTCCAGAATGGCTATGGGGCCCCTGTCTCAAGAGGAGTTTTGAGCTTCCCAGTCCCCCGTGCTGACTCCATCAGCACTGACCAAGGTGTAACGCAGAAGACAGTGACCACTGGGAGGGTCTGGGAGCACCTTCTCAAAGGGCCCTTGCACAGAGGGGATGGCCGGGGGCTGGGCCCTGCCCGTGTCAGGCAGAAGGAGGCCTGGAAGCAGGATGGTGAAGGTGTGTACCCAACTTTGCCTTGGTACCTGCCTCCCTCATGGGTGGGGAAAGCTGTAATAAGGGAAGGAAACTCTAGTAGCTTGACTCAAACTCCAATTCCTTAATATATTTTCCTAGTTACTCTTGTTTCTCAAGAGTTTGCTGTCAAGAAAAACTGTAGTAAATTCCTAAAGGCAATAGATTTCAAGTGTTATTATGCCTTGTTCTAAAACTTTATTAAGTAGGTGCACTTGACGTATTGAGGTCATTTGTTATGTGCTATTCAATTAGTCCTAGTTTAGGCCCTTGTACATTTTGCCCATAACTTTTACAAAGTACTTCTTTTATGCACATTCAGCAGAATTTTATATATATGTCTTGTGTGCATGTCCTTAACTTCCAACTTATTGTCCTCTTGAGATTGTTGAACGCAGCTGTCTAGGAAGGGGAATGGGACTAGATTCTGAAATTTATTTGGACCATGGGAATGATAGTTGGAAAGAAAACTATTTGCACATGACAGATTCTAGATACTTTTTGCTGCTAGTTTGATGTAATATTATTGAACCATTTTGACAATATTTAATTTTTTAAGCCTAAAAGTGATTCTTTGAAATTTTAAAGAAACTTGACCAAAAGACAGTACAAAAACACTGGCACTTGAATGTTGAAGTCACGTACGTGAAATTATATATTCGGGTAGTGTGAGCTTTTAATGTATAAGTCATATTAACTCTTAAGTCAATTAAGCAGACCCAGCATGGCAGTGTAGCCATAACTTTCTGAATGTTAGTAAAAACAAATTGGCGACTTGAAATTAAATCATGCCAAGGTTTGATACACTTGTCTAAGATATTAATGAACACCTTCGAACACTGATATGAAGTCCAGATTCTCAGATGTTTTGTTTGAGTTTTGTTTAGTTGTGTATTTTTTTTAGTGAATGTCTGGCACATTGCAATCCTCAAACATGTGGTTATCTTTGTTGTATGGCATAATCAGTGACTTGTACATTCAGCAAATAGCATTTGACAAGTTTATCAGCAGCAATATTTTCAGTTAATAAATAAGGTTTCAAAAAATCATTAAGAATGGATTTAAACTTGCTGAATGTAAATTGATCATCACTGTAGCTTTAGTAAATCTATTGTATTAGTTTAGAGCTAGCACTGCATGTGCGTGCATATTCTGATTTTATAAAATAAAGTTGAACTGCACAGTCTCCTTTGTTGTTGTCAATTGTGGCTTATTTTCAGAGGTGAAATAAAGTTGTGCTATTGCCAAAAAAAAAAAAAAAGTAGTGAATACAGTACACATAGATTTAGAATAAAGTCAGAGAGCCACAGATGCATAAGAATCCATTTATTAAAGGGTGGAGGCCAGAGATGAAATGAGGCCTCTTTCTGTAATGCTGGCCTGGCTATGGGCTGAACTAACAACTGGGGCCACTGAGTACCAGAAAGGGAAGGGATAGAGACAAAAGAGACAGACACCATGGGTGGAAACAGAGATAACAGCATGAAGAGTCAAAGAAGAGATACAGAGATATCAGGAAAAGACACACACATCCTTACACACTCTATACGTACAGT